GTGAGGGACCTGCCGCCCCCGAATTGCCGCAGGTGCCGCCCCTCTCCCTTGGCCGCCCCAAGCACCTGCTTGTTAAGCTGGAGCCGGCCCTGAACAGAGGGAAGGGAAGAGAGAGCGAGACAGAGGGGATGGAGACAGACGGAGGATGAAGGAGGGGAGGGAGGAATGGCGGGAATGAAGCGATGGAGGGGCAAGGAAGAGGGAGGGAGGGAATGAAAGAATGGAGGGAAAGAATGAAGAGGCCAGACAGGGATCGCGCTGGGAGAATCCTGCAGGGGTTGGGGGGTCCCATGTCCACCCAGCAGCTCCTGACACACACACCCCCGTTCTGCCCCCCCTTCCCAGTCCTGCGGTGCTTCGGGATTGCCACACGCACAGTCACCAACTACAACTCGGCCCACGACACGGACGTCAGCCTCACCATGGACATCTACTTCGACGAGAACATGAAACCGCTGGAACGGCTCAACGCCGACTCCGTCTGGTGAGGGGCGGCCACCGGGAGGCGCTGGGGGGCAGCTCCCGGTTACTCCAGCAGGGGCTCTGAGGCAACTGGTGACCCCCCCCCCTCTGTCCCCCAGGAATTTCCACGTGTGGAACGACTGCTGGATGACCCGGCCCGACCTGCCCTCGGGGTACGACGGGTGGCAAGTGGTTGATGCCACTCCCCAAGAGACCAGCAGTGGTGAGTGGGGGGCAGAGTGGGGGCAGAGTGGAGGGCAGAGGAAGAAGGGGGAGGGGAGAAGAGGGGGAGGTTGAGGGATAGGTTTGAAGGCGGAGCCAGGGGATGAGATGGGGGGGTCTTGGTTAGCGTAAGAAGCCCCCTCCCACAATGCACCTCCCCTCTGTTGGTGGGTGGGATCGGGGAGTTCCCCAGGACAACGGGAACGTGGCTTTGGGGCCACGGGGGCTGTTGGGGGGCTGTTGGGTCTGACTGTGTGTGTGTCTCCCACCCCCACCGCCCCTTCCCCCCCATCCTGGCCATACCTCCCCCCCTTTAATCCCTCCCCCCCACGGTATCTTCTGCTGCGGACCCTGCTCGGTGCAGGCCATTAAGAACGGGCTGGTGTACCTGAAGTATGACGCGCCCTTCATCTTTGCTGAGGTATTTGTGGGGGGGAGCAAAAAAGTCTGCTCCCCGCAAAGATAAAAATCAATATTTGGCGGAGGGCTGCGAAGGGGCGGGGTCTCCATCTCTCTGTGGGGGCTGTGAAGGGGCAGGGTCTCCGTGGGGGCAGGGTCTCTCCCTGGGGGGCTGTGAAGGGGTGGGGTCTCCGTAGACGTGGGGTCTCTCCCTGGGTGGCTGTGAAGGGGCGGGTACTCCCTGAGAGGGCTGCGAAGGGGTGGGGTCTCCGTGGGGGCGGGGACACTCCGTGGGGGCTGTGAAGGGGTGGGGTCTCCATGGGGCGCTGACCCAATCCCCACCCCTCCAGGTGAACAGCGACAAGGTGTACTGGCAGCGCCAGGCCGACGGCACCTACAAGATCGTCTACGTGGAGGAAAAGGCCATTGGGCACCTGATCAGCACCAAGGCCGTGGGCTCGCATGAGCGTCACGACGTCACCGATATCTACAAACACCCCGAGGGTACGCGCCAGGCACTGGGGGTGGGCAGTGCCAGGGGGGCCGGGCCCCTCGCCCACGCTGCCCACCTGGCCTGCCCTGCCCCCCACAATCGCACCGCCTTAAGCACTCGCGTGTGCATGCTCGGTCATGCACGCTTGCTCATGTCACCTCGGCTGCATTTGCACACTGGCTCTGGCACGTCACACGTCCTCTTCTGCATGGGCATGCTCACTCTTGTGCCCTCTTCTGCACGTGCATACTCACTGTTGCACACTTCACATGCCCTCTTCTGCATTTGCACACTCATTCTTGCACACTTCGCACACCCTCTTCTGCATGTGCATGCTCACTCTTGCACCCTTAGTCACGCACTTGCTCTCTGTTGCACTTGGACTCTGGGAAGCACCTGTCGCCATGCATGGTTGTGCGCCTTCGCACACTCAGTTCTCAGGCTCTCACCTGTGCTCTCCTCCATTCCCATTTGCACCCTCAATTTGGAAAGCACACTCACTAGTGCACAGCCTTGTGCAAGTGCAGCACTCACTCCTGCCGGTCTCTCATGCACCTGTGGACTCTCTTACATACATACCCACTCACTGAGCACATGAATTCTTGCACTTGTGCACACTAACTAGCACTCTTGCCCTTCTCTCTCGCCATCCAGTTTGCACACTAACATGTCAGTGTTTGCACGCTCACATGTGCATGTCTTCTGCACTACATTGGCACGCTTGCACACTGTTTTGGTTTGCACGCTCGTTCCCGTGCCCTCGCCCATCCATGTTTGCATGCTCACGTCTCCCTGTGTGCTGGTGAACACTCAATCGCTGGACCCCTGCCAACAGGTGTCTGATTTCTTGCTGCATACCAGCAGGAGTGAGTGGTTCAATCCGGGAAGCTGCCCCGTGCAGAGCTGTGACACTCCCCTAACACGGAGGCTGGGCTCCCAGCGGTGCAGAAGGATTTGACACACTACCAAACTCTTGACACATCCCTACGACCCAACCCACCCTGTTGTGCCGGTTCCCTGCATGTTTGTTGTGGGTCTTGGCTTAACTCTGGTTTGGAGAATGGATTCCAGGGGCTGGGCCGGGCCGGCCCCTCCTCGGCGCACGCTGAGCCTGGAATGAGCGTGGCTGGCTTTGGACACCTTTCCTCGCTGCTTGTGCCAAACACTGGGCTGGGCTGGTGTCGGGCCTGTGGGTCGCGGCCCAGCGGGCGGGAGCGGAATTCATGGGAAAACAGCGAGCGCCTGTCCCAGCCGAGTGTTCATATCCCGGGGTGACCCTACCCTGACACCGGCTAGCTGTGCACACGCTCGCTGGCACACTCAATCATGTTTGCACACTCACTTTTCCACATGTGTACACATTTCCACGCACACTTTTTTGCTTGCCCACTCCCTCTTATGCACTCACACATTTGTGTTTGCACACTCACTTTTGTTTGCACCCATGCGTTCGTGTGCATGCATTGTCACTTTTGCACACTCTTGTGCACATACATAGCTGTTTGCACACTCCATTTCCTGCACTTGAATGCCCTCATTCTTGCACACTGATACATCTTGGAAAGTCCTTTTCCTGCATTTCCACACGATCGCAAGCCCACGCCTGCACACTTACTTTGCCATGTTTGCACACACACAATCCTGTTCACATTCTCATGTTTCTGCATTTGCACACCCACATCTGCAGGCTTTTGTTTCTGAATTTACACACTTACACTCACCCATTCCTGTTTGCACGCACACCCATTTCTGTTTGCACGCTCACCTTCTTGTACACCCTGGTGTTTGCACACACGTGCATGCTCAGGCACTGCGGTATGGGCACAAGTCCCCACCCTTGCACAAGGACTCTGGTCCCAGTGGGGAAGGCCCGGCTGGGATCCCCTCCCGCCCTCGCTGACCCCTCGTCCCCCCCCCGCAGGCTCGGAAGCGGAGCGGAAGGCGGTGGAGACAGCGGCACGGCATCGGCACCAAGGCACACATCTACAAGAACAAGGAGTGGGGTGAGGACGTGTCGCTGAGTGTGGAGACCTCGGAGGCCGTCATGGGCCAGGACGTGAGCGTCCAGGTGGCCCTGAACAACCGGGGCAGCAGCAGCCGCAGCGTGGCCCTCACTCTGCACCTGGCACCCATGTTCTACACGGGCGTGACGGGGAGCACCTTCAAACAGGAGAGCCGGCAGGTGGAGATCCCGGCGGGAGGAGGTGAGCCCCAGCCCCCTGAACCCCGATCCCCCTGCAGCCCTGAGCTCCTGTCCCCAAGCTTCCCCCATGAACCCCGATCCCTCTGCAGCTCTGAGCCCCCAGTCCCAAGCTCCTCCCCCAACCCCGATCCCCCTGCAGCCCTGAGCCCCGGCCCCAACCTCCTCCCCCCAACCCCGATCCCCCCTGCAGCTCTGAGCCCCTGTTCCAAAGCTTCCCCCATAAACCCTGATACCCCTGCAGCCCTGAGCCCCCGGCACACACCCCTGAACAACATCCCCCCACACCCTTATCCCCCTGGTCCCTGACCCCTCGCCACCCCGCCCCCACCCCCCCACCCCCAA